CCCTATCTTCCAGTAGCAGCTCAGAGTTTCCAGTTCCCTGTATAGTAAGTAGCATATTGATTGTATTTCTTTCTTGCCTTTCATCTTTAGTGTTGGGTTCGTCGGAAACCCTTGTCATTCTCTGCAGGCACTATTCTCGCCCAGTTACATAGTAATGTTTAATATGTGTGAGTGGAACATAATAACCTTAAATGACTAACCTAATATTTTAAGTAATACATGTCAACATAATATTGTCAAGGTAAAAAACTACCACGGTCCTCATTTAACACGGACTATGTCCCAGAAGTTTTTTTTGAAACGTATAAATCCTCAATAAGAACAAATGAAAGAAAAAAAACATGAGGCAAAAGACAAAGTTAATACATGCAAAACAAAACAGAATTAAGAGATCACACTACAGGGATGCTTACAGAATGTTGCTACAGTCTAATTTCCGCCGCGCTATCAAAACAGATTAACAAATTAAGACTTATTTATCTTGCCTTATATTAAAATGTACACAAGGCTCTGATTGGTGATTTCAAGAATGTGAATCTCAATACAGTTTCTCCGCTGAATTTGTCCCCGGGGATGTGCAACACATAAGGGAGCTCACACAGAAGTCTAGATCCGAGATCTAGATGCATTTTCAAGGATGGTGGCATTGGCCAGAGACAAACCAGCGCGGCGGCTGGAAGACCCAGGGCAAAATTCTTGTGCCCCAAATTGCTGATGATGACCTTTGCCCAGTCCACGACCTCGACTTTCCGGTAGACGTACAGTAAACCAGTTTTTTCGTCCTGCAGTGTCAGCTCAAACCCTAGACATCGGTTGTTTCTGAAATGTATGAAAAGCATGTTTTAATGCAAGAAGATCGGCTTCCTTGCATCTGGTTTTGATCTTCTTTTTTTTTTCTTCACCCTCTTTTTCTTCTTCTTCTTCTTCTTCTTCTTCTTCTTCTGCTTTTTCTGCTTCTTCTTCTTCTTCTTCTTCTTCTTCTTCTTCTTCTTCTTCTTCTTCTTCTTCTTCTTCTTCTTCTTCTTCTTCTTCTTCTTCTTCTTCTTCTTCTTCTTCTTCTTCTTCTTCTTCTTCTTCTTCTTCTCATGTTTATTATTATGATTATGATTATGATTATTATTATTATTCTGCTGCTTCTGCTCCGTTTCCGCATCCCCATCTTCTTTCTCATTTGCATATATCTTCAGCAACTGTTTTCTTCGCCATTGTTTTCAATGTTTGGAATTTGCATACAAAGATGTCTATAGAAGTGAAGAACCCTTTACCAGGGCTCTGTATGTATTGGGAAAATAGGGCTAGACCTATATTTTATATACCAATGGGCACTCGGTGGGTGATGTCGTCAGCATCACGCCGGCCCCCTTAACTTTCCAGGACTTTATCTAGTACCCACTAAAAGCTGTTTCGGCCTGGGAGTCAAAGTTATTTTTTTTTTAATTATTATTGAGGCTCCGTCAGGTCCTGAACCTGCGACCCACCGATCCGCAGGCGAGCGTCTCTCCGCTACACCACGCAGGTTCCCAAAGCTGTCTATGGTAACCATCAAACACCATTTTCACACATCGCCTCTTACAACACGCTGGGAAAAGTATCCTTGGATGGTCGCCTGAACATGGCATTAGAAAGCTTTCGGGTAAACGATCAATGGTATCAACAAATTCCACAAATAAACAACACAGGAAAACTAGCAGTTTCCAACTTACTGGTCAAACAAGCCCACAGACGGGAAGTGAGTGATCAGTGCCCTGACAAACTCATCGGCATGAGCGCGTGAGTATTTCCACGTGCTGATCACCAGATCTGTGTCGGTCAGTGGGTCCAGATCTCTCATGGTGAGGTCACGAGGGACTGGTCTAGGATATTACACACTAGGATATTAGGATATACGATATTATATGATGATAATACGACAGAGAGAGAGAGACAAAGAGAGACAGACAGAGAGAAAGACACGAGAGAGAGACAGAGACATAGAGCGAAACAGAGACATAAAGAGACAAACAAAGAGACAGAGAGAGACATATACAGGGGGAGACAGAGATAAACAGAGAGAGACATGGGGAGATATTGAGAGACGGAAAGAGACATAGAGAGACAGAGAGAGACATATACAGCGTGATAGAGACATAGACATGGAAGACAGAGCTAGACAGAGAGAGAACGAGAGTGGCAAATAGAGACAGTGAGATACATAGAAGGCAAGGCATAACGAGAGACACACAGAGAGACAAAGACAGAGTGACAGAAAGTGACAGAGACAGAGAAGAGACATATAGAGTCACATAGAGACAGAGATAGACTGATATATAGAGAGAGACGGTGACAGACAGAGTGAGAAATGCACAAATAATGGAGAGCGGGAGTAAATACACAAGCAGAAACAACCAAAAGTCACTGACTTTCTACTGCCTTCATTCGCGATATCACCTACTTCCGGGAACACATACTAGGAAGGGGGTAAAAGTTTATACTCATTGCCTCCCTAACAAACATGTCGTACAAGGCGACTAATTAAAAGATTCTTTGACTTGTATATAATCCCCTATGGTTCTAGTCTGTGAGTTCTTTGACCTGTATATAATCCCCTATGGTTCTAGTCTGTGAGTTCTTTGACGTGTATATAATCCCCTATGGTTCTAGTCTGTGAGTTCTTTGTCCTGTATATAATCCCCTATGGTTCTAGTCTGTGAGTTCTTTGACCTGTATATAATCCCCTATGGTTCTAGTCTGTGAGTTCTTTGACCTGTATATAATCCCCTATGGTTCTAGTCTGTGAGTTCTTTCTCCTGTATATAATCCCCTATGGTTCTAGTCTGTGAGTTCTTTGACCTGTATATAATCCCCTATGGTTCTAGTCTGTGAGTTCTTTTACCTGTATATAATCCCCTATGGTTCTAGTCTGTGAGTTCTTTGACTTGTATATAATCCCCTATGGTTCTAGTCTGTGAGTTCTTTGACCTGTATATAATCCCCTATGGTTCTAGTCTGTGAGTTCTTTGACCTGTATATAATCCCCTATGGTTCTAGTCTGTGAGTTCTTTGACGTGTATATAATCCCCTATGGTTCTAGTCTGTGAGTTCTTTGACTTGTTTATAACCTCCTATGGTTCTAGTCTGTTAGTTCTTTGACCTATATATAATCCCCTATGGTTCTAGTCTGTGAGTTCTTTGAATTTTAAAATTTTCAAAATGCAAGAGATTCATTTTTCTCAGTTTAAATTATTACGATAGTAATAGTGTTGATACTGTGATATCACTGGCGTCGACGACGATAATGATAAAGACGATGATAATGATGGTGATGATGATAGTTACGATAAATGACTAATGGTGATAAAGATAATGATCATGCTAACTGATAGTGATAAAACTGGTAATGGTGATTATTGGTGGTGATGATTGATTATGATTAGCATTGATCATGGTAATACAATAGTACGCTGCTATGAGGGTTCAAACCTTAATTTAACATCTCCAGGGTTAGCCACTATTGCTATGCACCGGATTGTACGAGGAAACGAGTCTGTGCCGTTGTTGGTTTTACTTACAGCACCCACAACAGCGGCGTTGTCGTTGGACAGCACTGGTGAAGATGCAGAGATGTAAACACATGGTGCATTTATTGTTTGAAAATCCAGTTCCCTACAACCTTCCATTAATACCATCATCATTGTGATGTCGTGTCATTAGGGTAAAGGTAAAGTGACATCGACTTATTCCATATGGCCCGGTCTCTCTCGTCAGAACAGCTAGCTGCCTGCCGAGAGCTTCGCACAGAGAACGACCTCCGTAGCTCTGGTGACGATCTCTATGGATCACCGTAAAAATTGCACTCGTGAACTAAACGGCGCCGCCGTGAAACGAATCCACGACCTTGGGAGCGCGAGACAATCGGCTTGAGCACTTCGCTACGGAACCCCGCCCCTCTCCCCCAAAGGTCACATAGGTCTCGCACTCTGTTCCTCAGTTCAATCCTATCACGAGAAAGCTTTTTGATTTCCTTAATGGAATCCATTCTGGCAACTTCGGCCTCTCTCATTAACGTATGATACCTAAATAGGTTATCGTACTGCGTACCGTTGCATAGAAGTAACTGCAAAAAAAGTAACTATTGTCCGCATATGTCAAAAAACAAAAAGTATAGTTTGTTGTTTAATCTATTACATTTGATATGTGTAACAAATCTAGCGAGATACTCTAACCTATAGCTCAACATATGCTGCATCTTTCTACTGTAGTTACTACCCATTTGGGCATCTGTTGCTAAATGTTCAAGGACCGAAAGAAAAAGTTTCAACTTACTTTCAAAAATGCATGGTTCTGACCAGTCGATGAAACCTGGCCACGTCAGTAACATTTCCGCATGTACATGATTGGGAGAGAAATAACAAGTACACCTAGGCTTGGTCAGATAGTTGATGATCTGTAAGTACAATTGTAATAAATTGTTTGCATACGTATTTAACGATCTTTGAGTGCAGGTACATCAAACTGCGAACAGGTGTAACTTGTGATCTGTGAGTTAAAAAACAGAAAACTAAATTAAACTGTTTGCAGCTGAAATTTATGATCGGTAAGTATAACTGCATTCTTTGACGAGGATCTAGTGAATGGCAAATCTGGTGCTCGCAGCTGCAGTAAATCCAGCTCGAATCTCATACATGATTGACGAAAATAACAATACGGATACCTGAAATCTTGTTCTTCTTCTTCTTCTCTTTCACCGATTGTAAACTCCGGCGGAAAGTTCTGGTTGGGCGTCCACTTCTGGCCTCTAGCACTGTTCCAGATACTGAGTGTTGCGTGCACATCCGTTTTACAGGTCTGTCTCATCTTCATGCAGACTGTTGGTCCCTCGCCTCTCATGCAGATGCACTCCGACTTCAAAGGAAGCTCCTAATTATTCGACTCTTACGACATGCTTCTGGGCAGGTAGGGGGTCTATTCCGGTTCCCCCCCCCCTCCACAATGGAGCCCCGAAGTGCGCTGAGGTGCGCTGACTTGTTTGGGATGTCTCGTGTTCGCTAATTTTTTAGTAGGATTTCCTGTTTTCAGCTGAAATATTTAGTGGGAGGTCTCTTTTCAGCTTACATTTTTAGTGGGGTGTTCCGTTTTCAGTTTACACAAAGTGGGACTTCCCGTTTTCATTTCAAACTGTTATGTGGGATGGCTCGTTTTCAGGTCAAACTGTAAATGGGATATCGTGTTTTCAACTTAAAATGTTAGTGGGACGTCCCGTTTTCAGCTAAAACGTTTAGTGGGAAGTCCCGTTTTCAGATCAAGCTGTTAATGGGATGTCCTGTTTTCAGTTCAAACGTTTAGTGGAATGTCCCATTTTCAACTCACGATATTATGGTGACCTAGCAACATATAGTCTCTATAAAGCTGTCTAAGCTTATATTGAAAAGACTGAAATGTGCACTTAAGTAAAATGGCATCATAACGGGCATGTTTGTGAGTCTGTAGGCACAATTACATCTCACTGTTTACAGATGAGTTTAATGATCTTGAACTACAAAACATCACATTGTTTACAGATCAGGTTTATGGTCTCTAAGTCCAATTACATCAGACTATTTGCATGTGAATTTTATGATTTGAAAATCAAATTACATCAGATTGCTTACAGGAAAGATTTATTATCTGTGTGTCCAATTACATCAAACTGTTTACAGATGAGATTTATGATATGTAAGTCCAATTACATCAAACTGTTTGCAAATGAGATTTATGATCTGTAAGTCCAATTACATTAAACTGTTTACAGATGAGATTTATGATATGTAAATCTAATAACATCAGACTGTTTACATGTGAGATTTATAACATGTAAATCTAATTACATCAGACTGTTTACAGGTCAGGCTTACAGATTAGACCCTTACCTCAATAGGACAAGTATACCAGTCTGCTTTTTATATCTGTCTGTCTTTTTGTGTCGATCAGGCAAACGGTCAGATCGGTTACTCGGTGCTTGTGTGTGTCTTTACGTACGTGTATACTTACGTGCGTGTTATTGTGTTATGTATGTACACACTATCGTGCGTACATAGAATGCGTGTATGAATGTTTATGCGTACCTAGGCCAGCAGTACTTACATATGTATATGTGAATGTGTGTGTGTGCTTATGTATGTATTTATGTGTGTGCGTGTGTGTATATATGCATGTATTGGGTATGTATGTATGTGTGTGCGTGTGTGTATGTATGTATGTACACATGGTCGTGCATACGTACTTAATGTATGTATGTATGTAATGCGTACGTAGGCTGACAGAACGTACATATGTGTATGTATGTTTGTGTGTGCGCGTTTGTGTATGTGTGTGTGTGTGCGCACGTGCATGCAATGCTTCATGTATGCAAGTATGTATGCACGCATGCAATCATGCGTTTATATACATATATATATATACATGAAGGTAGGTGGGTACGTACGAGTCATGATCCGAACGAAACAATTACAGTGACTGACAGTAATGGTCATCTTGTATTTCAGTACTAACCTCGCTGTTCTCGTCAGGAATCCCTTCTCCAACGGCTAAAATGGAATCCTGTCTTTGTAACACCCACCACGTTTGACCTTTCCATCTGCCCTCCAGGGTTTCTCGCAGCATGCATGACAACTAGGATGTGCAAAACGGTATTCTGACTGCAATATTTAACAATTCGAGATAAACTGAGCAATGAAACTTTTTCGCTTTCATCGGCTGTAAGGTTCTAGTTTTTCGTGACTTAGTTTTTGTCTCAGAACTGAGTTTAGAAGGTATTTGTAAATCAATGATTTCAGACAATTACTGGTATGTAATATAGTCCTGAGCCTGCAAAAAGCGCGTTTGTGTATGTGGATGTGTGTGTGCGCAACGGTGTTCGACAGACCAAGACGACGGTGAAGAGGAGAAGATGATAAATAATAGTTTAAAAAATGTAGACACAACAACAAAAATTAGAGGAATCTGTGAAAGAGGTGCTTTAACTTTATTTTTAAAGACTGGTTTCGATACATTAAAAAAATAAGATTTCTGTCATAGTTACTGTTTGTCAGTTGAGATGAGAAAGATAATTCTAAAGAGTTATATAAATCCTATCATAATATACGGAAGTGAATTATGGACAGTTAAGTGATTAGTGAAAAAAACAAAAACAAATTATGCGGAAGCTGCAGAGATGTAGTTATATAGACAGATGACGAGAATACCCTGGACAGATAACAACAGTAATAAAGACGTCTTGAAAAAAAACTAACTCCCGAAGAGAACTGATTGCCCACATCAGGAGACGATCTACATTCTTTGATCATGTCATGAGAAGGAGACAACTGAGGTACATCGTGACAACGGGAAAGCTTTAGGGGATAAGAAGCAAAGGGAGATTGAGAGAGAAGATGCTAGATAGTTTGACATCATGACATGGGAGATCATCTATCTCAGAACTAATTGAATTTACACGAGACAGAAGGTTGTAAGCAGGTCTACCAATGCTACAAAACATGAACTGTACAACAATATTAGGCCCACCCAAAATGAACTTCAATTTACGTCCTAACTGTTTGACGGTGCCTTAATATAGATATAGCATTTCAGCTCAAAAGCCCCTATTTTCTTTCTTAAGGACTGGGAGATAGTCCACGACTCACATCCGTTTGTAGATACAGGGAAGATGCATACTCTCAAAAGTTGTATTTTGATCTCCTTGCTGGTGCTAAACCATAGACTTTCAATGCTGTTTTGCATTTTTAGCTCTTCAACATTCATTGTTATTTCTGGGTTTTTCTCTGTGGGCATTGTTTTCAATTTCTTTAAATTCAAGAATAGAAATTCGTAACTACAGAACTTTTAGATACACTAAATACATATTAGACGTGGCCACTTGGGTACGCCAGGTTTTTTTAGTGTACGCTGACCAAATGAAAAATATATATGAATGCACTGCACTGTTGTTGGGTTTCATGTTACAAAGCCCATCATACACCACACATTACTTGTGAATGAAAAGGTTATCAATAAATGTAATGGTTATAATGATTATTCGTTTATATTTCATTTGCTGATTTGGTAACTTACTTTCCACGAGAGAGGGAGGTGAGATTTCAGCCATTCGAAGACTTTCAACAAATCTTGCCCAGATGTTTTCACTAGACTGATAGAATCTGTGAAATGAAAGAAAACTGAAGTCGCTGGAGTAGTTCCTGACACTTTATAAGACCTTCTTCTTCTTCTGCTCTTTATCCCCCCTCCCTTCTTCCCCCCCCCCCCCAGTGAAGCACAGGCTCTCAACCAACTTAGCCTCAAAGTGTCCTATACCTTGCTATCGCATGCAGCTCACTCCGTGTCTTCGTCATCTTCATAACCTAACCCCCTCCCGCTCTTCCCCACCCAGCGTCCTCCTCCGTGGTGTGTGTGTCTGGATTGTCTGTCTTTATTTTTATGCCCTGTGGGTTCCAGTGTACCGACACTCTAATTTTATTGTTCTCGTTGTTTTCAGCATGTTTCCAACCGTCATCTCTTGGTTCATTGGACTTTGCTTAGTTCTCTCCCAAAGCTCCACATTAGTGACTTTATCATAACATTTTATTCCCTCTTTACTGCAGACAACGGTTAATGAATGTGTGTAGTTTATAAGCTTTTATTAAGTTCGATTTTGTTTGTTTGTTGTTTGGTTGTTTTGTCTCAGTCAGTTTGTTTAGTAACTGTTTTAGTTATTCTCCATGTTTCACTTTCACACAACAATGATAATTTGACCCTAGGGTTAAATATTATAATTAAGTATTCGCATGTGATGGCGGTTTAAATTAAACAGATTTTTGCAGGCCGAGTGTTTCGATTCAAATCCAGAACGAGGCCGATTTTATAATTGTTCTCAGCTTAAGCTGGGGACCAGAAAATATAAAGTTATAAACTAAAAAAAAAATTATTTCAAAGTCACAAAGAGCTATCTTACCACCAGGAATAAAAGTCACAGGGTGCTCTTCATCCGAATGGTGGCACTTTGTGTCACCGGATGTTTATCGCTTGGTGTGATGTTCTGGTGGGGTTGAATGTCGGTCAGTCAGTCATTCACCTAGTGCCGATTGGTCTATAAATATGGGAGATGGAAAGATGACTTTTACTTTAATAGATGTCAGAAGTTCCTCCTTAGTTTCAGCTTAATCAAGGTTGCACCCAGGGCCATATTTAGTCATGATGTTGATCTAAGGTATGTAAAGCCCTGAGACCGCACCGTTTTGTATTACACTAGATAATCTAAGAAATGTAAAATTTAAAAACCTTTCTAAATAGGCCTATATCTTCTTCTTCTTCTTCTTCTTCTTTTTCTTCTTCTTCTTCTTCTTTTCTTCTTCTTCTTCTTCTTCTTCTTCTTCTTCTTCTTCTTCTTCTTCTTCTTCTTCTTCTTCAGCATTCCGAGCCCTTGGGGTTCATTGCTGCAGATGTCACCCGCCTCCACTCTCTCTCTGACTGGCCTTCTCTTTCCAGTTGGTGACACCAAGAGTTTGCAGGTAAATGTATGTAAATATATTTTCTAAATATATATATACATGTGTGTGTGTGTGTGTGTGTGTGTGTGTGTAATGGAAATATATTCGTTTAATTTTTAGTAAAAGAAATAATAAAGAATGAGTTTGCAAAAACCGCAGAAATTATATAATCCTCTGAAATTCTCTATTTTAAAAAAGACAATTAAAATCTATGACAAAACAATTGTATATGTTGGGGGGGGGGGGGGGATTGCTTAGGTCACTGCAGACTGTGTGATGGCCTAATATGTAGATTATTTAGCTTATGCCTAAATTCAGCACTGGCTGCACCTCAAAATGACAGACTCCAATAACACACACAAGTAAGACGGGCGCCATTCCGGAAACAGATGTCATAACGATACACGAATACACAGATACCGACCTTTATGACAAAGCAAAATAGCTTATTTGCTCTGCTGTCAGTGGGAAACTTCTGAGGTCAAAAACCTAGACTGTAAAATTAGTGAATTATTCTTTGCCCCCGTAAGAGCTTATACACTGGACAGCCACTTTCATTTTCCAGGAACTTTCCTGGTATACCAATCTGTAGGCTTGAGCAATGAAATATAGCCACCTTAAAGAGGATCGAAAAGATATGTTTGTATGTGTGAGTGTATGTATGGGGTTTTTTTTTTTTTTAGAAAACAAAAGGTGTTGTTATTCACCGCAAGGTGTCTAAAAAAAGATAATGATACTGTTGAAAACAAAAATGATGCCTGAAAAAAGGTTTCAGTACTGTGTACGGCCAGACAAAAATCGTGTGCAGGTGTATATACAATTAGGAAAATACTACAGTGTAAGTATTTACCTGCAGTTCTGTTATTTTCCATATCCTGTACACTCATGTGTCGGAGTCTGTGGCTTAGACGTTACGAACGCGCTTTGAAATGCCGAGGTGCCGGGTTCGATCCCAGCTGCGGGCTTTGCGCCTTGCGTTGGTTTCGACAGTGGTATCAGGGGCCGACAGTTAAAAAAGCAATGTCAAACTACTGGACGTAAACTTGCCTAGGAAAACCACAACAGCCAAAAAATGCTAGGGTTGGTTCTGCAACGTCATGTAAAGGTTACACAGCTAACTTATACACTCACTCTGCGCCTTGTGACTAAAGTGTGTAAGGTTCAAGGCAACATGTGAAACTTGTGTTACTTTAAAAGATAATAAATGTATCACGTGAAAACACCGCGCATATCTTTCGTCTGTGTGTTACTTGTCTTGTTGCCAGTCTAAACATTTGGAGACAAAAGGTGGCCAAAGTTCGGACTTTGATTTCACTAACCTGGCTCTAACCATCTTAGTTATCATGAGTATCGCCAGTGCAATCTTTCACGTTACATAAGTGGCATATCAAGTTCCGCGAACTAGTGAAAGAACTTAAGCAAAGGTGAAATGGTAAATGTGGGGTGTTACAACATTCAGCCGAGAGTTGGGCGCAATGTTGACAGCTCTGCCCTGTACAAAAATTCTACAACGTTACTTGAAGAGGAAATAAATGCTCTAAGTATCTGGCTGTCTTGGGACAGAGTCCCTCTGTCAGCATGAGGGAAAGGAAGCCCATGATGGGAAAACAAGGCGGCTGGATGTCAAGAACCTATTAAGAATTGGCTTCTGGAATTAAGAACCATGTTTGAAACGGCCAAAAACAACATGGAGACGAAAGATGGAAAGTAACCGGAGTGTGGCAGCTTTGACATGGAAAACTGCACTGAAGATTGCACAGGACAGGAAAGCATGGAACGTCCTCTCCGAAGCTTCAAGTGCCACTAGGCATAACGAGAACTGATGATGATGATGATAATGATAATGTTAATATTCAGCCATTATTAAGCCGAGCGTGTTTCCTAGAAATAAAAAAGTAAAAGTAAGTAAAGGACCCTTTTCCACGCCTTTGGGTGTATTGGGAATGTATGTCTAAACCTATCAGCCCTTGGTGGGCGATGTAGTCAGCATCACACCGGCCGCTTTTACCTCCCAGGACTGCACCTGGTACCCACTCAATGATGGGTCGACCTGGGGGTCATTTAAAAGTCCGGCTCCGTCAATGCGCGAACCCACGACTTTCCGATCCGCAGACGGGCGTCTAGCCGTCAATGCCACGGCGAATCTAGAAAAAAAAAGAGCTGGGCTTATTATATAGCATCTTTTCTATTCGTGAAATAGTAAGGCAATAACAGAATAGTTAGTATGATCCAAGTCCAAGTCCTTTTGAGAGAGAAAAAAAAAGAAAAGCTCGACCACGTTCAGACTGCTGCTAGTTAGTATGATCCACGATAACCTCCCCAAGGTACACACTACCTCGCCTCTGATTGGTCGGCCTCTAGTCACCAACCTTCGCACACTGCTAGGAGGGGTGTTCGGCAATGCCTTCATATCGCGTGTTGTAAATTTAAGCACGCTTCTGCTTTTAACACTACAAAAACATTAAAAAACGAGTCTAACAAAATGTATCAAAGGACCGTGGCCTAGTTCGGCTAGGGAGATTATCGTGGCCAGTGTTGCCACTTTGGATCTTTTATATCCAAATTTAGATCTTTTTCATTGCATTTAGATACTGTTTTTGACGTTTAGATCGTAAATATTTTTCTAGAATCTTTTCACACGGAGTTAGATATTTTATAGATTTTTTTTCTTTCATTGTCAATTTATTAATTACTGTGTAAAATATTTACTACAATATTTTTGATTTGGTCTGGCACGTACATTGTGACAACTGCCATTACTTGAACTTTGAACTCTCACTGGGGTCAACGCACAAATATCTGGCAGCCCCGGCACTGATTAATAAAAACGCGCGTAAATCATACTAACTTTGTTTCAACCGTATCCTCACTGTGCTGACTTTGCGTTTCTTTTTCATTTGATTTTAAAAAAATAATTTGCTCACCTTCTTATGTGGCTTTCGCTTTAAAAAAAACCTTTCAACATGCCAAAAGAAAAGTATGAGCAAAAAATTTGGAAAGAGTGATTGCATAATGACAAAATTAAAAACTGGGGACATGACCAAAGCTTGTTGTAAGTACTGCAAGTGTGAAATTAAAGCGAAAATACAAAACTCAAAGAGTCATGCAGAGACTAAAAAAGCATAAAACTGCAGTTTCATTTAAAGATATTACACCGCTGACATCTGTTTTCAGAACTATACTGATAAATGAATCATCAAAAGTATCAGTCGCAATGTTTTTAATTTGTCACTGCGCAATTTCGAACTGTGACCATTTGATCGATTTGTAAAAAATCTTGGACTAGTTCAATTTGAAAAGTGTAATGTAGAAAGTATAGTTTAGGAACTGAAGGACCTTTTAATCAGCAAACAGTTAGGTTTGAAGAATTTGGCTGTAAGTGGTACTGATAATGCCTCAGTGATGGTTGGTATAAACAATGGCGTTTATGCCAAGTTGAAGGAAGCTAACCCATCGTTAATAATTATAAAATGTATGCGTCATTCATTGCAGCTGGCATTATCACATGCTTCATCTAAATATTTACCAAGGAATTTGGAATACCTTATTGCTGAAACACTTTACTGGTTTTCCAAATCATTTGTCAGACAACAGCAATACAATACATTATATACAGCCTTAAATGATGGTTCCACACCACCGAAAATTCTGTCAGTTTGCAAAACTAGATGGTTTTCAATTTAACCAGCTGTTGAAAGAATTAGGAAGCAATGGCTGAAGTTGAAGACACACTTTGAAATAACAAGACAAAGTGAAAAGTGCTACACAGCTAAAATACTATATGGAATGTACAGTGATGAAAAAAATATGTCATTCATTCTCTTTTTATAACCTATTCTAATGGAAGTGCAAAAAGTTAATAAACTGTTCTAATCTAAACTTGTTGATAAAGTTAAATTACTTGATGATCTCAAACTGCTATTTTACTCGGTAAAAGACTGGTGTTGCCAACTTCTAAAGCTGATTTGCTCACTTGCACTAGAGAGCTATTTGGCTCCTAAGCCACACCTTGGATATTAAATCGAATAAAAAATTGATGATTTAAAAACAAAAGGACTGTTAACAGAGAATGAAGAGAACAACTTAAGAAAATGCTGTCAAGATTTCTTTATCTCATTATTGAAGCAATTGAAGCAGAGACTTCCTAAAAAATCTAGATGTTTTGAAAAATATTTCACTTTTTTCTGTGAGCAACATACTTCAGCCAATAAAGGATATACCTAAATATTGTAAAGTTATGAAATTTTTAAGGTCTACTGATAATAGTGTTGCGGAAGCAGAATATCAGGTAACCAAAATAAAGTTAGCTGAATGGACAAACAAAACAGAAACTAAAGCGTTTTGAAGTGAAGTGAGACAATTTAAAGATGCCTCATCAAACAGTCCATTCTGTAAGCTCTTTAAAGTGCCATGTCTGCCATGATACTACCCCACTCAAATGCTGACGTAGAAAGAGTTTTCAGTGCTAGGAATTATATCAAATCTAACCTAAAAAACAGGATGATTTTGGACATCTTAAATGCTAGCGTGCCATTAAAATTCGGCCTGATGAGACTAGAGAAATAAGCCTAGTGTTCCGCTTATAAAGAAATTTGAACAGCTAAAGCATACCAGGGTCATTTTGGATCTGAAGCTTCAACTTCATTATCCAAGCTAAGTTTATCCTGTGGATCTTGTGAGGCAGACATCAGTGAAGGTGAGGACATGATTATGTAGGGTAAGTCATAACAAAAGCTATGTAATTTTTGACTTTTTCAATTTGGATGTTTTTTCTAGATTTTTTTCACGCAGATTTAGATCTTTTAAGATATTTTTTGACACCGTTTTGGATATTTTTTGTCAAAGAAAAGTGGCAACACTGGATATCACCGAACAGTTTGACCTAGCTAAAGAGCAGCTGGCCGTATGCACGTCTCTCGTGTGTGAAAAGGCTCCTGTCCTTTACTTGACTTACTCAGATACCCCGTTCAACCACTTAAGAATATGCATTTAGGACACTGGTGACGGATACACCAGGTACTACAACAGCGTGTCCTATAGGTTGGCAGGGGCATAAACATGTATCATAAACATATGCCCCCCCCCCTCCCCGAACCCCACCAGTCGCCAGTATTTCAAGTATTTCAGAAAATTGCGGTATTCACATGTTTAATTCGAGAGGATCGACTTCACTGTACCGGCTTGTATCTCATATGGCTCGGCCTTTCTCATGACAAAATGGCTAGCCGTCTGCTGATAGCATCGTATAAAGCACAAACACGGAAGCTCCAGCGACGATCCCCGGGAATCCCCGTAAAAATTTCACTCGTGAACTGAACGACACAGCCATGACATGAACCCGCGACTTTCAGAGCGCGAGACAAACGACTTGACCACTTCACCACTTCACCTGCTAGACTCTGCGGGATTTGCTGGGAAGGGGATCCGAGCATTTAGGGACTGAACTGGTCGATGTGAAATGAAGATAATCTTTCAACTAACTGAAGAACTAACAGCCATACTAACTGGGAACGAAATGACAATAGCCAGATTTACTTAGCGAGCAACGGATCGCAGTTACCCCCTTTCCCCCCCCCCCCTTTCCCCACCCCAACCCCCCAACACCCCTTTTTTCTGACGCTTAATGGCAAAAGTACCATTTTTGATGATAATTTCAAATCTGTAGCTAGAAGATCGTCTACCGACTGGAAAGTCCTAGATTTGAATTCACGGTGAACTAAAAAAAAAATATTAAAAAACGGGTAACCATAAGTCCCGTTTTCTCCGGAACTGATTTATTTTTTAGGTATGCCACAGCCGTTCCGTCTGTACCACACAGACACGCAAGCACACACACACACACACACGTACTCACACCACGTATGCGCACATAAAACCGCCAATTAGG